GGTCTAGAGTTCACAGGAGAGATTCTAGACACTTCCATGGATGGAGTTAAGACCCTGAGACCAGACAACCAGATGGCGTCCGGAATACTCCACTGTGGCATAAACATTATTTTGAGCTGAAGGCATTTGAATTCCTGAAATCCCTTATCTGCCTGAAAGCAGAGCCTCGCAAAAGAACTCAAAAAACTCAATTATCATAAATCCCTCCCCAGGAGCAACCAGAGAAGATTAACTCTTATAAGAGACATTGTGGCAAAACTATCACATCTCCCCTACTCTCCTAAGGGCCACTCCTAAGGGCCTATTTATCTTTCCTAAAGGTCATTTGTTTTCCCACAAATGCCCTTCTCCCCCACCCCAACTCCCATCCCAGCCCTCTACCTATTAAGATGGTATGTATGGCCCAAACTCTAACCCTTAACGTTTTATTTGAACCTGTGATTAAACCTGTTTTCTCTTGCAAATTTGGCAATTTAATTCACATGCCCACAAACACTAACCTAAGAGGGTAGAGGAAAAGTTTTTCCTCCCTACACTGTAGATAAAAGAAGTTCAAGGACTGAACCCTGAGGCTGTTCTAAAATTGTAGGAAAAAATGATAATAAATAAAATTGCAGAGATGAGGAAGCACCAGCAAGAGATACATAACTCGACAAAGTTAAAAACCAACAACGTTCTTCATTCCCACAAATTATACAACAAATCGCTTGTGATTCTCTCATGCATTGTGATTCAGCATAATGGGAGTCAGACTGAAAAGCACCTGTGCTTCTCTCCACTTCCTTCAGCAACATGCAACCGGCCATATGCCAATATTTGGATTATAGCTTCTACAACGTTCTTCAAAAGTTGGGTTCAGGGCCGGCCTGTGGCTCACTCGGTAGAGTGCGGTGCTGATAACACCAAGGCCACGGGTTCGGATCCCATATAGGGATGGCCGGTTCGCTCACTGCCTGAGCGTGGTGCTGACAACACCAAGTCGGGTTAAGATCCCCTTACCGGTCATCTTTAAAAAAAAAAAAAAAAAAGTTGGGTTCACAGAGCAGGAAAGTTTTTTTTTTTTTTTTTTTTTGGTGGTTGGCCGGTACAGGGATAGAACCCTGGACCTTTTCTTCTTCTCTTACTCTTTGCCCTCAGCTTTCTCCTATATTGTAAGTGAATAAAAGAATGGTATTTATAAAAAGCATCTCCTTTAGACTTCACTGCAAACCTTAAATTTCTAAAGTCACATTTGTATTTGAAAATTGAATTTGCCTACAGATGCTAGGTATCGTAAAAGCAGGGACTTAATGTTCACTATTTTTCAGAGTATCCTTCAGAGTTCCTCATACCCTGTTCTCAATTACTAAAGACAAATTCACAATGTGCCACACCCTTGCTGCAAAGTATCTTAATAAAGCTATTATAAGCACTAGCAGAATGAAGTCACTAACAATCATGTTAAGGAGTAGATTCTTATGACTCCTCTAGAGAGGTGAGATTCTGGTAGGATCACTACATATAAAATTTAGAAAGATCATAAATACACACAGAGACTTCACCTCAAATTTTTGGAAGGTAAGATAAAGTCAAATCCTAAGAACTCAATATATTAACACAGCTATAGTTCACAGAAAATATAATTATCCTGTTCCAGTGCAGCCAGGAATGTCCTTCCCCACCTCAATTCCTACCTCACATTCATTTGATAATTGAGATACAGTTCCAGCCAAGGAGGAGTAGGCGACCTGGGAGGTGGGGAGGGTCTGGAAGCGGAGATAGACCAAGTAGATGGGAAGAAAAGATTGTTCCAGTAAAGGAATGCAAAATCCGGGCCGGCCTGGTGGCGCACTCGGTACAGTGCGGCGCTTAGGAGTGAGGGGGTGCTCCCACCGAGGGTTGGGATCCCATATAGAGACTGGCCCACTCACTGGTTGAGCGCGGTGCGGGTGTGACACCGAGGGTTGCGATCCCGTTACCGGTCACAAAAAAAGACAAAAAGGCAAAAAAAAAAAAGGAATGCAAAATCCTTAATTGAAAGGATTATGATGGGAAATACATGCAGTTTTTATGCTGGAGTTGAGCTTTTAGAGAGGGGCAGTGAGAAAGAGGCTAGAGAGGCAAGCAAAGGCCATGAAAGGCTGTCCTGAGCCTGGTCAGGAACTAAGACTTGACCTTGGAACTCAGGAGGGCCCTTGCCTGCAGGCTCCCTTCCTACCCTCTTCTCACCCATGCTGATCCTTCCAGCACTGATGAGACAAGAAAGCCCACAAGGGATCTATAGGAAATTAATGACTTACAGAAATTAATGGCTTATTACCCAAAAAAGAAAAAAGTGTCTTTTGGCAGGGCAACCTATGCCAACTTTACTCACTGTTCACTGTTCAGCCTAATCTTCTTTGCTTTTGTCATGTTCATTGGAAACATGTCAACAGTAAACATTATTGTAAACAGTATAATTCGCCCTTTTTAGGTGGAGTTTTCGGACTTTAATGTATAGTCATACAATCACCACAATCAAGATACAGACCATTTCCATCAAGCCAAAGAAATCCCCTCTACTAGCCCCTGACAACCACTGATCTGTTTTCTGTCTGTTTAATTTTTCAACTTAGTCTGAGTTCTCTTTAAATAGATGCAAATGAACATAATTCCATACAGCTATTCTTTTTTTCATTTTACATTCCCACAAAATTTGCAAGAATTCTGCTCAAATTGGTGTTTTTTTGTTTGTTTGTTTGTTTGTTTGTTCAAAAAACATGACTGGTAAGGGGATTTTAACCCCTGACTTGGTGTTAGCACCACGCTCTCCCAAGTGAGCTAACTGGCCATCCCTATATAGGGATCTGAACCCGTGACCTTAGTGTTATCAGCACCACAGTCTCCCAAGTGAGCCACGGGCCAGCCCCCAAATTGGTTTTAATCTGTGATAGAAAACCAAAACTTTAGGGCCGGCCCGTGGCTCACTCGGGAGAGTGCGGTGCTGATAACATCAAGGCCGCGGGTTCGGATCCCATACAGGGATGGCCGGTTGGCTCACTGGGTGAGCGTGGTGCTGACAACACCAAGACAAGGGTTAAGATCCCCTTACCGGTCATCTTTTTAAAAAAAAAAGAAAAGAAAACCAAAACTTTAGTCTAGAAAATATGTACTCAGATCATAAATAAAATGATTAAAACCAAGTACACACCAAGGTCAACGGTTCAGATCCCCTCACTGGCCCGATCAAGTGCAGTTTACATGTGTGTTACATCCCAAACTTTCTTAATCTTACTACAACTTGGTCAGCAGTTTCCAAGAAGAAACTGAGGTGTTCCGTACCTAAGGCTGCCGATAAAATGCTATCTAACCCATGGTAGAATGTATAGGATTTGAGTTCTTCCTGCCCTTAAACTTATTAGCCGTATAATCTTGGCAGAATCACTTAACCTCTCCAAGCCTCTGTTTCCCATCTGTGAAATTCAGTATTTACTAGCCTTATACTACACAGCACGCACTGAAGATGTAGCAGTGAACAAAATAGGGCAAACGTCCCTGCCATCAATGAGGTTACATATGAAAACTGTCAGTCAACAGTGTTATGAAGAAAAAAAAATAAAGCAAAAGAGGAAAGGTGGGCAGGGAAGGTCTTTCCAATGAGGCCTTTGAGCAGACACGGGAGGGTGGCTATCAAGAGGAGCATAACAAGTCCAAGTGCTAGTCTAAGGAACAGCAAAGAGGCCAGCAGGGCTGATGCAGAGGGAGGAAGGCAAGAGTATAGGAAACAAGGTCAGAGGAGGAGCAGTGCTTACCACTGACCTCTGTGAGGTCTTTGGTTTTGACTCCAAATAAGACTGAAAGCACCAGAAAGTTCTGAGCAAAGGAATGACATACCATGCACCGTGTTTAAAAGGACCACTCTGACTAGCATGAAGGGCGGGTAGGGGAAGGGATGGAACAAGGAGATTACATAAGAGACTATTGTAATAATCCAAGAGCCAAGATGGGGACATTGTCCGTAACTCTCCTCCATAGCCTATGAGAGCTCCTGAAGCCTTATTTATCTCTGTATATTCTGCCCCCAACGCAACCCCAGACACAAAGCACTCAAAAACTATAAAAGTTCAAACAGCTACTTTGGGATACCAGAATACACTCTGCAGCACTCTCTTCTTTGCCCACAAGAAGCCTGGAGTTGGGGGATTGGTGGGGTGGGAAGGCATGAAACTCCAGTGGGCAGGAGGCACCCGTATTCCCACAGCAAGATCACAACCAACGGAGGCTTTGTAAGGATTCTTGATAGTTCACCCGGTCCTAAACAATCCCACCTCCCCATCTCCCCCAGCCCTGCCCAATCTGGGAAAAACAAGGGCAAGAACAAATAATAATGAAGAACAAATAATAAGAAGAAGAATAAATAATGGTTTAGCTTCAGGCTGACCCGAACTGAAGAAAAGCTCATTTACATTTAAGAGGGAACTGATTGACAGGCTCCTATGAATTATTTATTTATTTGTGTGTGTGTGCACACAAGCGTGCCTGGCCACAGGGATGGAATCCTGGACATTGGTGTCATCAGCATAACCGGACAGCCCCTATGAATGTACATAAAAGGAGGAAGACTTGAGACGGGGGCTAGAGGGCTAGAGGGCCCATACTGGCAGACTCCGTGGAAGTGATGACCTTTCCTTTTCTCCCTTCGCAAAGCTGACCCTCCCCCAAAACTGGCACTGTGAGAAGATGAACCCCAGGGAGAGAGGGTGATTAGAGATTTGTGAGATCTTGAGGTGACAAAGGGGAAGAGGAACAGGCAAAAGTCAAGCTGAGTCTTGAGTTAGAACTTGCCAAAGCTCTACAGCACTGGGTCTACTATCCAGTTCTTCTTCCCCAAGAGTCTAATACATGTCTACTACGCAAATGTCAATATGCCTGATCCCTTCCAGTTTATAACTCAATAACCATACTCGCAATCAGACAATAAGAATGTGAACAGAAAATCAGCACTACTCAAAATTCTGACTGAAACCTACAGTAAGAAATACCTTTTGGGCTGGCCGATTAGCTCAGTCGGTTAGTGTGGTGTTGACAATACCAAGGTCCACTGTTTGATCCTTGCACTGGCCAGGCACACAAAAAGGAAATACCTTTTACATCTAAAATTATTTGAAAATAAAAAATTAAACGATGAAATAACCAGCATTTTTCAATGTTTATAATGAAAGTGAAATGTTAAGATTTAGCATGCCATCCTTGTTCTTTTTTTTTTTTTTCTAAAAGATGGCCGGTAAGGGGATCTTAACCCTTGACTTGGTGTTGTCAGCACCACGCTCTCCCAAGTGAGCAAACCGGCCATCCCTATATAGGGATCCGAACCTGTGGCCTTGGTGTTATCAGCACCACACTCTCCAAAGTGAGCCACGGGCCGGCCCCCATCCTTGTTCTTAAAATTTTCCTCATCAAGATCTATACAAGATCTACACAGTAAAAGCTGCATTGTGAGAGCCAGCCCATGGCTCACTTGGGAGAGCATGGTGCTGACAACACCAAGTCAAGGGTTAAAATCCCCTTACCGGTCATCTTTTTTATAAAAATAAAAATAAAAAAAGTTGCATTGTGAAAAGCATCGTCTTGTAAAGAACAACACATTAAAAACATCTCTTCCTTGTTACTCTGGTACATTTACATTTAGGTTAAATTCAAAATATATTAGAGTTTTGAGTTCCTTCTAAACACCAAGCTTTAGAGGACATCTCTAGCACACCAAGAGGGAAGTAAGAGCACTCAACCATCCATATAAAAATTACAAAAGGGAGATCAATAGTTCTTTAGCGAACCATCCAAAGTTGTGAACAAACTTCATGTCCTGGGTGTAAGATGTAATATATTGGCCAATCCATTTAAAATACTGATATTAACAAATTTCTCCCCCGCCTATAGTAGGTTCCACGCTCAGTAAGTTTTTATACATCCATTATCAACTTTCATACATTTGGAGAAAGGCAAGAGCTTTACGAACAGACCTGGCATCAGTTGTACCAACACATCGTTTTCTGAAAAACCACTCTCAATTGTCAGTTTGTCTTTTCATACTTACTTTTAACGAAACTGCAAGGCGAAAAACTCAAGTCATCTCATTTGAACAGTTTTCTACTTTCTAGCAAATATACACACACTACCCACCGACATGTCCAGTCACACTCTCATCCCAAATGCTTTCAGCATTTACTCAGATCAGTAGAGGCTCCGGTTAACTTACGGCCCCGACCTCCGGCCCCGTGCGCTCAGAGAGCACGAACAATCACTGACAAACGCTGAGATGAGTCAGCAGACCTTCCAAGGATACCCTAAACACTCCGCTTCCACTTAACAGTGACCCCGAGCATCTGCGCTGTGTTGACTAGATAGTGAAGAGGCTTCCCAGAATCTCCCCGGCTTCTCTCAGGCTCCCTCCTTCCCGCGTCTCCCCATCTCAGACGGAGCGCCCGGGATTCCCTCTTCCCTCCCGCGCGCTCGGGACTCGGTCTGTGCGGACACAGGACACAGCCCTCGCGCGCGGCCAAGCCCTTCCCGGGACGACACCCACAGCCCCGCGGGCCGGGCACTCACCCACGGCAGGCGCCGAGGATAAGGTCAGGGGCGGGGAGCGGCGAGCTGGGCGACCCGGGCGGTCGGGAGGCGAGTGCTGGCAGCGCCGACGCGGGCCTCACAGCTCACGCCTCGTCGGGCTGCAGGCGGACAAAGTGCAGGGCGGTGGCCCCTCCCTCGCACGCGGCTCTTCCCAGTCCCGGCCCGCGGGCGGGCGGAAGGCTTGGCGCCACCTGCCAGGCTGCGATTAGCGCCCACGCCCCGGCTGGGCGTGTGCACGTGTCGCGCAGGGGCTGAGCCGCCCGCGGGACAGGGACCGAGCCGCCCGCGGGACAGGGACCGCCACCCTCCCGTGGGACCCGGGTCACCGAAAAGACTAGCCCGGAGCACGCGGGGACAAACAAAAACTCCCGCCTCCGGGGGGCTTGTACGAAATGGACAGGGGCGATTAGCTCTGGCGTCCCAGGGCGCCATCCGGGCTCATCAATACCCGAGTCTTGCCTGGCTGATTTTCTTTTTTTTTTTTTTTTTAAAGATGACCGGTAAGGGGATCTTAACCCTTGACTTGGTGTTGTCAGCACCACACTCAGCCAGTGAGCAAACCGGCCATCCCTATATGGGATCCGAACCCGGGGCCTTGGTGTTATCAGCACCGCACTCTCCCGAGTGAGCCACAGGCCGGCCCTTGCCTGGCTGATTTTGGTCGCTGCCGCTGGCCCGCGCCCCTTAAGCACCAGGAAACCCTGACGCCGAAGTTCTCCGTCACACACGTTGCCCACCTGCACTACAACTAAGCGGTTTCTGGTGAATACGCTTCTGAGAAGTTAGATGATTGCGCCCCAGGGCCGGTAAAATAAAAACCGAAAGGGGCAGGGGGGCGCTTTCTGAATGAAAACATTACTATGAACAGGGTTCTTTTCGTTTGGTTCGTTGGTTGGGTGTTTTTGTGGCTGACGGGTATGGGGATTATTGTGAACAGTTTAGATACTATTCCTCACGCTCCGGAAATAAGCACCTCTCTGCAAATATTCTGATGTTATGGGAAAGCTGGAAAGTGATTGTGCAGGTTCAGGAAAAGGGCTGGTCAATATCAGGCTTTATGAGTGTGTGTGGCCATCCAGCCTTCGCCTGTGGCATCCATTCTTGAAAATTAGTGCATGCATCGAGATGTTTTCTGGTTTGCATTTACAAACGAAAATCATAATATCGGTTAAGTTGTTTAAATCAACACTAGGAATTACCGTTTATTCTTCACTCAATACAGGAAAGTTTTAGCAAAGAAGCCTTGATAAGGAAACTGATTATGAGTAATTTTTTAGATTAAAAATAGTATACTGGGGGCCGGCCTGTGGCTCACTAGGTAGAGTGCGGTGCTGATAACACCAAGGCCGCGGGTTCGGATCCTATATAGGGATGGCCGGTTTGCTCACTGGCTGAGCGTGTTGCTGACAACACCAAGCCAAGGGTTGAGATCCTCTTACCGGTCATCTTTAAAAAAAAAAAAAAAAAATAGTATACTGAAAAAAAAAAGACCAAAAATACTATCCTGTGTACGTTTAAAGGGCTTATATTCATAATGCGCCCAAACATTTAGGTAAAATTATTCTTTTGGGTTAATTTCTGTCAGTTTAAAAGCTTTTAAGGGTCAGCCCGTGGCTCACTTGGGAGAGCGTGGTGCTGATAACACGAAGTCAAGGGTTAAGATCCCCTTACCGGTCATCTTTAAAAAAAAAAAAAAAAGCTCCGGAAAAATGGGATTAAAAGGTATTGTGAATCTTTCCATGAGTTTTTTGAAGACCCCTCCTATGGAAGGATCACTTAGAGACTGAA